TGAAGGGCTGGCAGAGTACCACAAACTGACTGAACTAAAAGTGATTTCCCAAAAGATTTGTGCTCAGAAGGCACAGTTGCAGGCTGTCAGACAGCCACAAATGGCAAATATGAGAACAAAGATAGTACTCATTCATAAGCATTGTATTTATTATGCATAGTATACACTTAGTTAATAAATGGAAAAATGTGATATTTGTCATATTTGTAAGCACATCTCCATAGGTTTGGGAAATGAAAATGCTCAGCTCAGAAACAGTTTTGCTATTTAAAAAGTTTTGCTCATCCATTGCTCTCCTTCAGAAAACCACAAGCCATGTAGATCACAAGAAGCAAACAGTATCAAAATGACAAAACTATGTATGAGCTCTGTGTTATTCAAGGATACAAAATTTAGGAGGAATAGAATAATAGGCTAAATAATATTCTAAGTTGCTATAAATTATCAGAAAGATATGTTAGCATCAGAACGGAAAAATGTCTAAATTTAGACATCGGTTTTCACAGAGATTGTTATTCGATAACAAGGGATACAAAAGGATATGTGTGCTGGCATGAAACTCTGGATAATATCAGAAAAGGTTACTTCCAGTATCTGACACAGAACCTGGGGAGAAGATGGCTTTTAGGGCATTGTTAGAAATTTCTCTGTCTACATGATCTAGTTCCATGAGTTGCTGTTATAGATTTCCCATCTACATTTTGTGTCATAAGATATGTGTCTGAACATGAGCTTCTCTCATTCTGTTTGAATTCAGTCTTTTGGAAGCAAGATACTTGTTTCCATTAAAACTTTGCTGTGATCCAATTATAGGTGGCAGCTAAATAAATTCTAGGGAAGCCCCAGGAGACCTGATGCGAGTTTTCAAGATGGCAAATACACACCAAAGTACAAGGGCTGTGGTCACTTTTATGAAGAGCCATGGAAGAGGCAACAATTTTTATATAGTATTTTAAATAATACATAATATATATAATAGATATTATAGATATTATATTATATTATATAGATATTATATGTATAATGCCATATATTAAATATTACATAAACCTATTGATTTTGCTATTCAGCAAGGAATTCTGAAACATTAGTTCAATTCCCTCTTCATCTTGAGGGGAATGAAACCTGTATCTCTTACCTCTATTTGCCAGACTACAAAATAGCTTGGCAGGAATAAAAAGCTGGATTTCAGCAACCTCTGTGGTGAATGTCAGCCTTTGCACAACCAAGTAATCTGGCAAGACACAGAGCAACTACACAGGGATAATCTCATGGTCAGGACATTCATCTGGTTCTTTTGTCAGTATTATTTTTTATATCAAAACTGAAACTCCCTGGTCTCTTCCTATTCCTCGTTGAATGCCCTAAACACAAGAATAACATATGCTTCCGCTTGTTTGCTCTCCTGTGCTTCCATGACCATAAAGAAGGTCAGATTCTGTCAAAGGGAGGAGATGTGACCCAGCAGATGGGTGCTCGTGGTCAAAGAAGCACTCCTGCATCATGGAAGCTGTGTATACCAAGCAATTGAACTGCAGATAGAAGTCCAGATCTGTTTCTGTTCTCACCTGTTACAATGGGCTAGTTTCAACAAGGTGCCTCCTCACCTTGGGAAGGATATTTCCTGGATATATCCAAATCTCGCTATTGACTATAAACATGCCACTGAGATGTTTGTCGGACACTTATTACATGCAAGACCCTGTTTTTAGGTCTCCACTAGGTCCTAAAGTCTTAACAAATTTTGTAAATGAAAACGATGTATCTCTTCTAGATAGAAGAAGTTCATTAAAGGAATTAAAAAGTAGGCAATGTTATTTTAAACTTAGGAAAGCTTCAATCTTGAAATGTAGATTTTGTTGTTATAATTCTTCCTACCAGTTGGAAGTAAGTGCAAGCATGTCTCCTTTTCTTTACGAGTGAGTCATAATTTCAATCTATTAGACTGAAAAGGACCCTATATGTTTCCTTCAAATTATGAAAGAAAAGACAGTTACTGACCACAGTATACTTGTATTGCTCTGTCTCCATTACTTAGCTATAAAAAGATATGTTCTAACAGACTTATGTCTTTGTTTCCAGAAAAGCAGTCTATCTTGAAATTCGGTATTTGGGCAAGAAAACCAGCAGAATGCGTAATTCACAGGCCATTTGTGTCAGCTTTGTTTGAAATCCTGCTCTAAATCTGAATGACAGAGAATGAATGTGGTCTCTGTTCATATGACATGAGCTGAAAAGTTATGAGCATTAACAGCTTTAGAGTCAGCTCCTTGAAACATGCAACTGCATTTTAGTAGGTTTTCTTGAAACAGTATTCCCTACATTTAATGCTTCATACCATGGCACTTTATACCCCATTCATCCAGCATATCATATTCACATGGCACAGCACAACCACCAAAGGAAAAATAGAGGGAAAATAGCAGAAGAAAGTAAGAGTGTAGAGATAAGACTTGAGGTGAGAAAATACATTATATTACCTACAACTTGGTATTCACTACCTTAATCTGGAAAGGAAGCATATTTAAATTTAAAATAGAAAAGTAATACTTAAAATCGCATTTTAAATTTTCATATTGAAGTGCTTTTCAGTAGGTAGGTAGGTTCCTGTATTTAACAGTGTAGAATGAAACAGAAAATTTATGAAGCATTACAAAATAGCCATTCATTGGTAAACTTATCTGAGCTCCTTCACAACAGAATCCATGAATTTTGTTTACACTGACATTTAAGATTACCCTTGAAAGTAACCTTTTTCCAGTTTGAACTTTACAAATTGGTCTTCTCTGCCTACAGCTTAACTTAGCATCTGCACTGCAGACCAGTGCTTCTTAATCCTTCCCAGAAGCCCTCCATGAAAAAATGAGATTATTGCTATCTCTGCTTACAAACTTGACCCTGATTATGACAGAAAAAAAAATAAATAAAGGACAGAGGCATTTTGAACTTCTCTGGGTGAAGGATTGCCAAGATAAGAGACAGGAGAGGGACATTTTACAAGGGCAATTAGTGATAAAACAAGGAGGAAAGATTTAGATTAGACATTGGGAAGAAATTCTTTACTGTGAGAGTGGTGAGGCACTCGAACAGGTTGCCTAAAGAAGTTGTGGATGCCCTACCTCTGGAAGTGTTCAAGGCCAGGCTGGATGGGCCTTTGAGCAACCTGTCTAGTGGGACATGCCCATGGCAGGGGGGTTGGAACTAGATGATCTTTAAGGTCCCTTCCAACCCAAACTATTCTATGATTCTATTACTCTGTGATGACACGAGTGACTGGTGTATACATTGCACAGCTACATACCCTAATACTCAGTTTTCTTAGGCTAACTCAGTTTCTAGCACAGGTGTTCAGCAGCTCTAGATTCATGTCAAATGCCATCACAGTAGTAATTAAAAGAAAACTTCTGTCAACTCTGGAAGAATCTATACTTCCCACTATTTTAAGTTAATTGAAGACAGAACTGAATGGGATTTTAAGTATTACATTTGAGCTCTGCTAATACATAGCACCATTCTAGATTAAAAGGTGTTTATAGCTGACGTGGTAAAAATCAGTAAAGAGATAAGCCATGAGATAAACTCACCCGTGCAGGAGAAATTTACGAACACTTTGAATTAAGCTAACTTTTTAAATTTAAATGTTATCCTATTTCAAAAACAGGTGGAAAAATTATAATAACAATAGTTGTATGCAGCCTGAAACAGTGTAACTTACTAAAGCGAAGCGCAGATAAGAACTTAAAATGTAACATAGCACAACAGATGTAGAATAAAACTATTAGCTTTAAGCCTATTAGAATGTTAATTGATGATGCATTTGAACAACCACAGAAAACAGTGGATATGCAGCCAATTAAAATTTAGGGAGACCCTCTTGACTTTGCAATCATAAAAGTTCATTTCCTACTTTACTAAAATTGAGGTAATCACAGAAAATGACAAATTTACAACATAATGAATCTACTCTCTACAAAACTAGACAACGAACACTTACAATGCAGAACCCTACACACTGATCAAAGTCTGTCACATCGAAGTTCTACTGTAACAGAAGAAACACATTTTTGGAAGTGGACATCAACATGTAAAAAGAAAAATATCTTGAGCTCATACTGTCTTCAAATGCAAGCACAAGGTATCTCACTGCAAATAAATCTTAAATATAAAAGAGAAAATAAAAATAAGTATCTTAATAGTCTCCCTCTCATTTGCCATTCCCAATGGATTGGCAATCAGTAAGATACAGCGTTTTTGATAGCTTTAATCATCTTCCACTACTCTCTGCTAGTTATCCCTATGGGAGAAGAAAACTAAGAAGAGAAATTATAATAGAAAGTAACAAACTGCCAAGGTATGAAAGGACAGAAATATAATTTGAACTGGCTTATAAAAGAACAGATAACATGTTCATGAAGAGAACATAATTTGAGTTTATTACCTCATCATAACCAACATATTGTAAACTAATTTGGGATACTCGAAATTACATAGAATAATGCACAAAGACATACTATCCCACAATTAAGGAGTTCTGAATCATATGAAGTACTTCATAATGACTTTCTCAGCCCAAACTGCTCTTTAGTCAGATAGAGCTTTGCTCATTTCCAAATTTTTCTTTTGAGTCTGCTTCCTCAGATTGACACTAGTTTCTAAAAATCTCGACTAATTACAGGTCAATGACCTGCTGCAGACAAGCAACTCATATTGTAACATAGTAGAAAAAGTTGTATTTCAGTGTTTCAAAACTGAAAAACAGAAGTTTACAGAAAATCTTTCCACAATAGTTTTAAATATTCACCATCAACAATAAATAATTCATAACATATTTCCAAATCACAGAGCAATATATAATTTTCCTTCAAAACAGTAACTTGTCACACAAAACAGAAAAGAAGTTATTAGTAATTCTATGTTGGAAATCATATGTTCAGAAATGTGAATATCTATAGTAAATAACATTTACTTGTTAGATTTATGTTTTTACTATAAATTCTTACCTAAGCTGTTTAAAAGCTTCTGCTTTTACAAGTGGTGTTTCTACAGAGTGTTCAAAAAGTGCTCCTTCAGGCCCTGCAAAAAAAAAAAAAAGAAAAATACTATAATGAAAAAAAAAAGTAACAGTTTTGATATGGCCACCTTGATATCAGATATTTGGATAAGAAAACATATATTAAGAATTATAAGACAATAAAATATAGCTATATTATTACGATTACAGTATTGATTGGAACAACACAATACACAGGTAATGTAAATGTACATTAAATTCTTAAAATGAAATCTAAAAAGTCTGAAGGCAGAGAAATTTTAAATTACTTGGGACAACAAAATAAGTAAATAAAATTTGTACGATGTAACTTCCATTACAGTCAATAGAGATAATTTAAATCCCAAAAAAACTTTGCAAATATTACAGTCCTAAATTATCATATTTATTTTTAGACTATTCTACGCATATAAAAAATTCTGGCATATAGCTTCATCAAAGATTTACTCCTATTTATAGGGAGACTTGCTGAATATAAAATAGTATTTATGCACGCAAAATGGTGGGATTAGACAGTTTACCTCTTGAAATAAGAGTGGTTTCATCCCAATGAGGAAGAAACAGCGGGCACCCAACCTTACCAGGAGCTTCCCCATTGGACCTGAAAATCTTCCAAGAACATCCATTTCTGCTCTCCTGCTTATTAGCATTATTGTAGTATCACCAACTCAGTGACCATCTCCCACCTAAGTTTTACCAGGATCAGGGAACTCGCTGAAATAGTACAAAAGCCCCTCAGCAAAAGAGATGGCTCAAACAAGCATTGTGAAGATACTCATCAAAAATGGGAGTGGACTTCCTTAGGTTGAGTGATCTCCGGCTTTGAGGATTCGCATATCTGAGTACTTTTTACGTGAATATGTAGCAAGGCAACATATTTTAATGTATTATTATAATTGTATTATAATAATAATATAATATATTATAATATTAATATATTTTATTAGTTAGGATATTACACAAGGTGGCTTGTCTGGCTGCTCTATCAGTTAGAATAGGATGCTGTTACCCTCCAGAAAGAATTCTGGGCTGTAGAAACCCTAAGTTAGGGATTTAGACTCTATCTAGACAGAGAATGACAATGGATGATTAGAAAGTACGGTGTAGATAGTACAGATGTGGTATTAGATTGTATTTAATGTAGCATAAAGGGAAAAACAGAAAAAATCGCTTGAGGCAATGCAGAGAACACGGAAAAGAAGTGAAAGCAAGAAAAACCATTAAAAATTAATACATTGCTCAGACAATTGAGAGGAAGACTGTCACTTCATGAGGGCTGGGGGAAAATTCTTAGCATGTCCTAAGGAAGCATGCATGAAAGAATGAAATCTCCTTAGCTTGGATGGAAGAGAAGTACACAAGATATGAGAATTACCACATTAAATCACTCCACCACTTTGAGGAAGCATTGATTTACTAAACTTGTATTTAAATTTTACTCAGCTGTTGATATCCTCCTCATCAATTTAAATAGATTAACCTTTCTGTAAACTACTAACTGCCATGAATATAATACTGGAAAATTCAAAATTCATTAATTTGGACAGAGCTTTAAGCCTTCTTCATTAACATTAAGATTATCCTGCATGATAAACCCTAATGTCTTGATGGACACAGTCAATTATTCTCCTGTTCTTGTATTTGTGCTGGTGGGTGTTACAATGTGGCAAACTTACATGTTGAAGATGACGAAAATAACACCCTATGCCTTAAGGAATTAAAAATGTTTATCAGAAAATGCTGATTTGGTACAACTAAGATATTTTGCAGGGATATGTTGATCTGTTGAAAGTGTACATGTGGCTCTTGGGGACACAATTTAGTGGTGGACTTGGCATTGCTGGTTAATGGTTAGACTTGATCTTAAAGGTCTTTTACAGCCTACATGATACTATGATTCTATGGTTCTATAAAGACATGTAAGTGGTAACAGAGATAGTATCACTTTCATGGAAATAGGAGATAATGGAAGAAAGTTAATACGAAACATCAGTGTCAATGCTCCTGGGGGGAGAGGGGGTGAGCAGGTGGTGTAAAATGGAATGAAAAGGCTTACTTCCATATTCTAGAGCTATAAACTCTAAGCAGGAATAACCCCTTGCCTTTATGTGAAAAAAACTTCTTAAGTTTGAACAGTATGACATTAACAAAAAAACCCTCAGGGCAATATTATTTTGAAATGCACTAAATTGATTTCTTGTCTTCGTTTCCTACTTTATCTTTTAAACTGTAAAGAAAGAACATTAATTATTATATGAATATTACTATATTTACTATTTTATAGGCTACTGCTTATTAATATAATGTAATTTAATTCTAAAATACACAAGAACAAGATATTAATTTTCTCAATGAGAAGACTGAAGCCAGCAAGATTCATTAACATCCCACACACCCTATCAAGCAAGGACAATTTTCCTTTTCAAAGTCTAACAGAACGTTTATTCATACCCTCAGATTGTCTCCTACCTAACTTACCTTCTGAGCAGAAGTGTTAAAATCAAACACACATCCTCACACTGCACTTCAGCATTAGCTAGGCAAACTGAAAACCTTTGCATAGAACAGAGCACTAGAAAATTACAGACAATACTCAGACAATACTTTAGGAAATGTTTATAAACGTCAAACAAGCAGAAGGACAAGTAGTAAACTGGAGAAAGGGTGATATAGTATGTTTCTCCTTAAAAATATTGATCCCCTCTGCCCTGCCAGTTTTCCTTCAAGAAAAAAAATGTGTAGATGTGGGGACATGGTTTAGTGGTGAACACAGTGATTGGTTGAACTTGATGATCTTAGAGGGCTTTTCTAACCTTAACAATTCTGTTTCTATGAGTCTGCCATGACAACATCGCTAGTTATAAAGCAATCAGCTCTTTGTCAGCCAATAAACTGTTACAAAGTGGATTTCACTGTCATCAATGCCACCTGGATGTATAGAACCTTACCAGAACAAAATGCTGATGTTCAGTACCTCTGTAGCAACAATGTCTGCAAAATATGCAGGTGATTTCTGAAATAATATTAAAGAGGATGTAATTGGGGTATGTGCTCTTTCAGGTAGCAGTAATTGTCAAGAAGGGTTAAGCTGAGCTTCAGTTTCATACACTTAAATTTAAGAATTTAGTTGCCTAATCATATTTACTTACTGTCATCTGAAATACCCTTGTACATCCTGCCTGGCCTTCAGCTGCCATAATCAAAGGAAGCATCTCTTGTAGATACAGAGATATCATGTGGTGCCTCACATACCCTAAGGTGTTTCACATGCAGCTGGACGCTAATGTTTTAGCATGTGAACTCAGCCACTATTCATGGTATTCCATGGAGATGAGCGAGCTGTTAAGCTCACCCTACAGCAGACATTTGGTTGGCACAAGAGCTCTCCATGTGGCAGGTCTAGGTGTCCTCTTCATGCTCCAGGATGTATTGGCTGTGGATGCATTGGAGGTTCAATTCAGCCATCTGAACATGAGCATCTAAGACCTGCCAGTGACCCTGTGGGGTATCTGTGGCACTTTGCTGGTTATGGCTTTCCACAGGCATATGCTCTTCTTAGAGCAGAGAGAGTCTGCTGCTATTTTATTCTACCCCATGGGCCAGAAAATATCTGACTGAAATAGTGTTAAAACACACAAAATTGTAGGAAAATGACAATTCTTGAGGTGTTGGATTAGATTAGCAAACTCTTAGACTTTTTCCTTTGTCCTGAAATATAAATAATAGACATTTGCTCTCTGCTATATTATATTTTAGTTGAAAACTGTTAGGTTTTCTTACAAATCGTTACTGCGCTTTTCATAATTCCCATGAGGAGAAATAAAATCAAATTGTTCACTGTATTGTACGTAAAAAAACGCGAAATGTTCTTTGTGTATTTTAAGCCCGGGGTCATCTGTTTCTTATGATATGAACTCTTCAAAATTTATTTCACACTGATCTTGTTCTCTATCTAAAATGTTTAAAAATTATCTCAGTATGCAAAGTACTATTAATGTATCCTTCATGCTAATAGTGCAATTTAAATCACAATAACTTATCCTTCATGCTAATAGTATCATTTAAATCACAATTTTAATAAATTAATTTGAAGCAAAGTAGGCATGAATCACCTCTCACTTATATTAATTTTACACTGAAATAACCTCAGTGACTTTATGTATTTGCTTTTGAACTGTACTACAGTGTAAAAAAGAAACAGGTAATGTGTCTTTCTACAATATCTGCTGAAGTAAATAATTATCAATGCAGTGTAAAGTTTCATATTGGATGAGTCAGAATACATTCTCTAGCTTGTGTATGAATGATTTTACTTTGAGCAGAGACAGACCTTTTCCAAATCAGTTAACAATTATGCAGTTTTCCATATCTTTGTTAAACATGCTTTTCTATTAAAGTTTAGCATCCCTTGGGCAAACAATAATTATTTGATATGGTTTCCTGGTTAAACAAAGTTGTAATTTCAATTAGGTTAAAAACTAAAAAAACCTAAGATAAGACCCTCAGGCGTAAACAAAATTTATTAACATAGTTATTACAACTTAACTTTGGCTTTGAAACACTAATCATATAGTTACTGCCATATTTATAGTTTTACACAGTGAAATAATATGAATCTATTCATTAAAATTAAGACCTCAAGATTTCAGGACCAATAATTAGCAAAAGTCAAACATGATAGTTGCAATCTGGTAAAAATATTAAAAATATATTGGAAAACAAGTTACAGAATAATTTTAATATTTCCTCTGATGGACTCTTCTGCTTAAAGAGAAATCACACCTTGATCTATTTTAATGCAACCTTACACCTAGAAAATGAAGGTTGAATTTATCAGGTCATATGAAAGGAAATAGCTTGTTATGTGATAACTTTGATGTATTACTTTGTAAATGAGTACTTTAGTGATTTGCAGAAACAGCCTAAGACAAACTTGTCTTTTGACAAATGACATTTAAAATATACTACAAATATCATCCTGTGAACTTAATCTGGCCTTTGAACTTAATGTGGCCACTTCTGTTAAGGACAACAAAAAGTGTTTTCATAAATACAACAATAGCAAAAGGAGGGGCAAGGAAAACCTTCATTCTTTGTTGGACATGGAGGGGAACATAGTTACCAAAGACAAGGATAAGGTTGAGGTACTTAACAACTTCTTTGCCTCAGTTTTCAACAAGAACACAGGTTGTCCTCAGCACAACTGGCTTCCTGGGCTGGTAGACAGCAACGGGGAGCCGAGTAGCCCCCCTGTTATCCAGGAGGATGAAATTAGTGACCTGCTGAGCCACTTGGATCCTCACAAGTCTATGGGACCAGATGGGATCCATCCCAGGGTGATGGAACTGGCGGAAGAGCTTGTCAAGCTGCTCTCTATCACCAGTCCTGCCTCAGCGGGGAGGTCCCAGATGATTAAAAGCTGGCTAATTTGACACCCATCCACAAGAAGGGCTGGAAGGGAGACCTGGGAAACTACAGGCCTGTCAGCCTGGCCTCGGTGCTGGCAAGGTTATGGAACAGATCATCCTAAGTGCGATCACACAACAGCTACAGGATCGACAAGGGATCAGACCCAGCCAGCATGGGTTTAGGAAGGGCAGGTCCTGTCTGACCAATCTGATCTCCTCTTATGACCAGGTGACCTGCCTGATGGATGAGGGGAAGGCTGTGGATGTGTCTATCTGGACTTCAGCAAAGCCTTTGACACTGTCTCCCACAGCATACTCCTGGAAAAGCTGGCAGCCCACGGCTTGGACAGGGGCACTCTGTGCTGGGTTAGGAACTGGCTGGAGGGTCGGGCCCAGAGAGTGGTGGTGAACGGTGCTGCATCCAGTTGGTGGCTGGTCACTAGTGGTGACCCCCAGGAATCAGTGTTAGGCCCACTCCTGCTTAATATCTTTACTGATGATCTGGACAAGAGGACTGAGTCCACAATCAGCAAATTTGCAGATGACACCAAAATGGGGGGGGGAGTGTCAATCTGCTAGAGGGTAGGAGGGCTCTGCAGAGGGACCTGGACAGGCTGGATAAACGGGCTGAATTCAAAGGTATGATTTTTAACAAGAACAAGTGCCAGGTCCTGCACTTTGGCCACAACAACCCCATGCAGTGCTACAGGCTAAAGAGTGGCTGGAGAGCAGTCAGTCAGAGAAGGACCTGGAGGTTCCAATCAACAGGAAGCTGAACATGAGCCAGCAGTGTGCCCAGGTGGCCAAGAAGGCCAAAGGCATCCTGGCCTGGATCAGGAACAGTGTGGCCAGCAGGACCAGGGAAGTGGTTCTTCCCCTGTACTCAGCGCTGGTGAGGCCACACCTTGAGTACTGTGTCCAGTTCTGGGCCCCTCAGTTCAGGAAGGATATTGAGGTGCTGGAACAGGTTCAGAGAAGAGCAACGAGGCTGGTGAAGGGACTGGAGCACAGGTTCTATGAGGAGCAGCTGAGGGAGCTGGGGCTGTTTAGCCTGGAGAAGAGGAGGCTCAGGAGAGACCTCATCGCTCTCTACAACTCCCTGAAAGGAGGTTGTAGCCAGGTGGGGGTTGGTCTCTTCTCCCAGGCAACCAGCAGTAGGACAAGAGGGCACAGTCTTAAGCTGTGCCAGGGGAGGTTTAGGCTAAACATTAGAAAGAAACTCTTTACAGAGAGAGTGATCAGACATTGGAATGGGCTGCCCAAGGAGGTGGTGGAGTCCCTGGAGGTATTTAAGAAGAGACTGGACGTGGCACTTAGTGCCATGGTCTAGTTGACAGGGTCATTGGTTGGACTCGATGATCTCAGAGGTCTTTTCCAACCTGGTTGATTCTGTGATTCTGTGATATATGCTACACACATAGCAGAAATACAGTGGCTTTCACTTTGCAAGATAAAACCATATAAAAATATCAGAGAGCCCAAAGTTTTCACAAATCAAACTCATTACAACTCAGACTGGAGTATCTAGAATTTTTTCAGCCTCAATTAGTGTGCAATGGAAACATTAAATAATTCAGAAAAAGATGCATCTGTACAGTTCCAATCACTAATGGCTTTAAAATAAAATAAACACAGATATATTTACATATTTTTATATATATATTATTTTGCTTTCAGAAGTTCTTACTGATTATTTATTGGAAAAGGTCAGAACACCTTCATATTTCTGTTTCTTAATGAGGTAAAAATGGAACTTGTATTCACACATAATAATGTATTTAAAAATGCCATTTTTATTGTGCTTTTTCTATGGGTATTATTTGAGCATTTCTTAAATGGTTACAAACCTGTGACTCGAAGCTTATCTGTGCCAATTACAACCTCATTTTCATCCACTGTAAAAAGTGGCTTTCCATCCTTTGAGTTGATCTGAAATTGCTGACCGTGGAATTCTACCATTTTAGGACCTGCAAAGCACAGTAGAATAATGGAATAATGACATCATCTTTCTTCAATTTTCTATATAAATGGCTAATACTTTTAATTGGTGTCTTAATAATTTAGTGACCCATTTAAGTACACTAAAGATCATGAAGCACCCAGATATTCTAAGGATAGTGGCCCTCTAAGTACTGAAATTGGATAAGTCTATTTACATGATCTAATTTGTTGTTCAAAACTGTGCCTGTAGTCATGCTTTATAGTTGGTTTTCCAGAGAATTTAGGAAATCCCTTATGAATTGATCAAGACAAACATTCATGTTCTTGGGTGTTGAAACTGCTTTGATCAGTATGAGTCTAGCATATTTTTCTTTTTTTTGAAACACAGAAACTAATTATCAAAGTCTTTGCAGCATAATCCTTTTTTAATAGGGAAGTTCAAATGATTTAAAATTACAAACTTCCCATGATAAGAGCAGGATGCTCAGCTCTTCCAAACAAATGTCACTTTAGCGACACATATCTAGCAAATGTTACTGATTATGTTCTTAAAAGAGTTTCAAGAAACTATGAGAGTATTTGCAATTGATTCCGGTACTCCAAAAGTTAAAATAATTGTGCGCAAGAGAATCTGCATATTTTGAGATCCTAAATTCACTAAAACATCATGTTTCACAGTATTGGCTTGGTAAGTGGATAAAAATCACACCCTTTATATTCCCTTTTCTAACAACCTGATCAATTAAAAATTCACACCATGTAAGTTTGAATATCTATTTCATGGAGTTGTCATCTAAATCTATGTTCAGAATTAAAATTACACAGAATGCTCAAAGCAGTTAAGACTCCTTTTCAGCAACTTTCAATAAAGGTACTTCACAGACTATCCATGGAACCAAGAGGCATTGAACTGCCTCCTTCCCATTAAGAACCTGTCTTACCGTGTCGACTCCCATAAGTGTTAAATATATTCCAGGCAGTAATTCTCAAAAAAATAGGAATTTTTCTTTTTGTTAGACCTTATATTAAATTAGCTCGGTTAGAGCATGGTGCTAACAATGCCAAGGTCACGGGTTTAATCCACATATGGACCACTCACTTAAGAGTTGGACATGATGATTCTTGTGAGTCGCTTCCAACTCAGAATATTCTCTGATTCTCTGAAAATGGCATTAGGTGACAGATGATTAATAGTGCTAAGAAGAACATGCAGGTATTTCACAAAATCTGCATGGTAGCTGGTACAAGAGATGCATACCATAAGGTTCCAGACAAATTCCTTATTGTTTCAGCAGATACAAAGTAATTGCTTTTAACAGCCCACCAAGCACAGAAAGGGTTATAGAAGCCATAAAGCCATATTGCCCTAAACCAGGGCAATAATTTTAAGGCGTAAACCCCAATATTGATTCTACTTGAAAATGGTCAGGATAGAGGGCTGAACTCTGCATTATGTTACGCTCTGTTGCACATGTGCACCCAGGCACAGCCTTACAGACCTCATTTTAGCTCTTCTCTAAAGCTACTATGAAGCACATGACTTAATTTCTGAGAAGTATGTTGCAAAAAGTGGTATCAGGAAATATCTTCCTTCAGTGATAAGGCATTAAACAGTATTTTTTTTAGAGCAAAAGAAGAAGTTCTGGGTAAGTGAGGCAATCTTGTCAATGCCTTCCTAGAAAATCTTGGTTAAGGCATTTTATTTAAGGTCCCTTCCAACCCAGGCCATTCTATGATTTTATGATTGTTCCTGTTTGTGCCCAACAGCATTAACAAAACTGGCTATTTATGTAGTGTAGCCAGATCCTTCTGTATTCAAACAGATCAAAGGCATGAATAAACTGGGCATTACCAACTTTACTGGTGTTACAGGGGCTGGTTCCTCATCCTTCCCATTCATCTAATCCTATGATTTTTAAAGCCAGACTTAATCAAGGAAAAACTCTGCAAGCACTGAGAGCAGTCACTGAACATTATATACTTTCCAAAGGAGCCTTAACTTGTCTCTCTTTGAAACTACAACTCATGGCCTTGCCCATGCTGGGTTTCCCTCCAGATTTCTCTCCTGTTTGATTCTGGACCTTGCACACTTCAATAAATTTTTAACAAGAATATTCAGGTCCACAGTTTTCTCAACAAAAATGCCCCAGTAAAGTGGGACAATGACTGTCCTATTGATAACCTTCATTATCACAGAATAGTATGGATAATAATTGATGTATTTTATATCTTTAGAGGGTAGTAGGGTAAACAAAATTCAAGTGTATGTTTTTTTCATGCTAGAGATGAGACATCTCAGTATACGTGGAACAAGTTTCAAAAAGGAATAATAGGCTTTTACACAAATGGGAATAAATTTATGTAATGAAAAGTAGCCATTAATCTCTCTTAGTTGTATTCCACAATACACATACACTAGCTACATTGCAATAACACTAATTGTATTGTGATCCCAGTGAGGTTAATTTTCAACTCATAAACAGCAGCCAAATTCAATATCTGAAACTTTAATCTCCTAATGCCTAAATATGTTTTGTTTGCCATCCTAGTATATTAACTACATGTAAGTCAACTAATACTAAATAATCGTATTTATTGATAAAATCCTACAATTAAAAATGCAACCTGACTGAATGCAGGTTATAGAAAAGTGTTCGTTTTCCACTTACTGACAGATGTGTCTTCCAAAAACAACTGACATAATACTAAACGGTCTTCCTTTTCATTTTTTCTCCTCACTCTTGACTGCCCTAGGGGTTTTCTAGGGAAGGAAGGTCTTCTATTTACTGAGTCCATTTCAGTTGACAAGCATTTAAATAAACTGCCTTCTACTGCTACCCAACTTTTGAATTCCAGGCCAGTACAAATATAGATGTACAAGACTGAAAAGTATCTTCTATCAAAAATGGGGCCTGCCATAACATATATATTCACAAATGCTCAATGGCAATGAAATTTGGAGAGTCTGAACTTTGAAGAGCCTGCCTACATGTTACCAGTATGCAGATTCTTCAAATACAGTTAGTTCTGCCAAATACTACTTTAATATACACAAGTAAACTTTTAACATGTCTTCAGATCTTTCAGAAGAAAAGGCTTTCCAACACTGGATTTATTTGTTTGGATCTTTTATTTTCTTACTCTCTCTCGTTACCCATAATTTCTGATAACCTATGGCTGTCAGATATTCTGTATGCTTTGCTCTTCTCCTACAACCTAGAATCATCGAAGTGATGAATATAAACCATAATCCTGAGCACTTTGGGGTACTCCTATGCAATTTAATTTTTTAGCTAATTTTTATTAAATTAAAGCACCTTACTTAAAATAAGATCTCATTAAAAGTGTATTAAAAATGTAATACTCCTACAGATTCAATTCTCATTCCATGAGTAATACAATACAATACTAATAAATGTAAAGTCATTACTTTCAGAAACATAAAATGAGTCATATTTTCATATGGAATGGTATGCAAGTACTTCATTAGTATTGGTATTTCATTAGAACAAATAAATGCATTATTACAGAAAATGCACAGTATGTTGCATATATATATTTTATGTCCATGTCATACATCACTCCTTGTCTTGAAAAACAACTGTAATACATTAACAGAACACTTGCTTCTCCTGTTTCCTCTTTTTCTCTCAGTTCTCCTTTTATGCAATGGATGAAACAATGATGAGCCCTCAGATCAACGTAAGAATGCCTTACTGTCAGCACTGCTTATACTTTGTTGTTCTCTATGATTAAACATAAGTCTAGAGATCTTAAAAAATTGGTTCTCGATGGTTACAGACACTGATCATGCAGACAGTAGCAACCCAACAAATGTTAGGTATCTAGGTGATAGGACTTTCCACTCTCAGAGTGATTTAGCTAATGCCATGTCTTCATCCATCTAGGCATTAGCCATATAGAATACTCTATTTAAATATAGAAACAAGAAACCCATGCAATATTTAATTGTAAAATGGGCTATTGCATGTAGAAACTTCGGCAGGAACAGGAGATCATGTTTCTCACAGAATGACTTGACAAAAAGGCTATGGTGCCACCTTTTTTCTCAGGCTTAATGAACCCAGAATTTGTCATATGATATTAACTTCAACAGGAAACGGTGAAACATACAGTCCTCAAACAGATAAGGTGAAAAGGAAAGTACTAAAGGAGATGAGGCATGATAATTTGAAACCCTGTATGAAGAAAGGACAGCTAATGTGAGTCTCTCATTCCTGAGCAAATACTTTAACAACTCTATCTTCAGTATAATGGATATTTTTCCTCCTTTTCTTTTTTTTTAAAAAAAAAGAAAGCCATGAGTGTATTTTCATAAGGTCAGCTCCTGCGCTGTGATTCATACCTAAGCATACCTACTGGATCTGGGCAGAGGACAATGTGAGAAGATCAGTTAAACAGGTGGGGAATGACTGAGTTGACAACACAACTGTCTAGTCCATTTACATACTTCTGTGCTCTCTGCCTGACCTTCAGCTTATTTTTGATGTCCTAGTGTGTCCAGGACTTCTACGTCAGATTAGAAAGTCTGACATGGGGTCTGTAAGCAACATGAGCCCTTTCAGAGTGTTAGCTGAAGACTGGGCAAGATGGAACCACAGAAGAATGCAAGCCAGAGGTCACCTCTGGAAGTCACCTGGTCCTACCTACTAATCACATCAAGGTCACCTTGCATGGAAGTTAGATAAAGGTTCTCAGGGTCTTGTTCAGGTAAAATTTTAATATGTCTGAGGTAGGGAATTTAACAGCCTCCCTGGACAACTTGTTCCCATGGTTAACCATTCTAACAGTGATATTTCCCCCCACCGTTTATCCAGTTGCACTTTGCTTCCCTGCAACCCATGACCATTATTGTATTTGCCCTTTTGTTGTGCACCCCAAGAAGAATATGGATTCATACTAGTGATAGGACAAGGTGAAATAGCCTCAAGTTGCACCAAGGGAGGTTCAGGTTTGATATTACAAAAAATTTCTTCACTAAAAGAGTGGTTAAGCATTGGAACAG